ACCATTCGAGCCACAGAATTCGTTTTGGCATCGTTGGATAGAGAATTGAATTGACCCCCTCCTGGATCCGCCCTTGGTTGAGTTTCTCCATGGCTTTGAGGCCGCTTTCAAGCAACTTTGATACAGTCGATACAAGTGGAAAACATTGAAAGCTATATAGGTACTCACCTTCCTAATGATCAGTCTGGGTAGTGCCATGCCTGTAACAGAACAAACAAGCTTGACAGTGGCCCCATAATGAATATAACCATCTCGAACTTGGAATTCTTCGCTCTCCGACTCGTTGTCATCCAGTAAATGGATGGTGAACGCGCCCCATTGAGTGGAACTGGCATGGAAATGTCCATTTTCCACATGCAAATACCTGGTGGAAACTGTTTGGGATCGCAGCCGATTGAACAGAGCCACTTTGGTGCCGCTCGCTATACAAAGATCTGCATTCTTGAGGCTCTGTTTCTTTTTCGAGGGTTTCGATATCACTTTGATCCGCTTGCTCTGAAACACCCCAATATCGTGCCCGGAACCGTAAAACATTTTCACTGACAACATAAAGTGTTTTCTCTTGTCCGAGTCGGAAATGTAAAGAGTCTTTGCTGCACAGTACTGCTTGCCATTGTTCAGATCCAGTTGCTGCATGTCCTGATCGGAGTTTCCAATGCCAATGAATGCACACAGTTGCGAGTTGGTTTCCGATTCGCCCTCTCTGAGCATTTGCTCCTGTCGCAGCCTCCAGCCGTCTCCAAACAGGTAAATGCACGGAGGAGGACAGAAGAACCTCTTTTCATTGCCGTAGGATTTCTGAGCCACTTTGGCGTGAAGGATCACGATCACCATATCAGACCTTTCGCGAAGATACTTCTCCATGGCCTCCCGAGTGAGTCGCCGGTCTTCTCCTCGGTAGCCCCCCGGGACTACGGCCCCAGCAAACCGGGAGTACATGGCAGCGTGTTGGGGTGGAGGAGTTGGAGGCGATTGGGCATGGGCTATGCCAGGCAAACCGTACTGGTGAGGCATTTTCCGATGTGAAGTTGGGGCGCTTCACTGCACTTCACTCAACTGGGGCCCCGCATTTGCAGCATGCTTCTTCACAGGGGCACTTTCACTCAAGCCGACCTGCCAAAACACTAAACACAGATTCACAAACTGAAAGCCGACTCTTCCTCACGGCTACTGCGGGACGTGAGAACTAAAAGCTGTTTATTTCCCCTTCTTTTTATGCCATCATGTCTGGCACATTTCGTGTCCTCCGTTTTGAAAAACACCTGTTTGGCACTTCCATTTTCCGACACTGCCGCCAACCTTCGAAACCTATTGTTTACTGTTCGCTATTTTGCATTTTGCGCACTAAATAGTTAAATTATGGGAGTACTCCTTCGGCCCTGAATATGAGGAGAAGCTCAGAATTTTTTCAAATAATTTAATAATTGAGAAATCAGCTTCTAACTAGGCTGGATAATTTTTGTCATGTTGGCCATACACCCAGAGTGTGGCTGATCGATGATACGAGGGGCGCACCTTACGTATATTTTACGCTCTATATTTTACATCTCAAAAAACAGTAGACTTTTTCGATTTAACAAGCACCCAAATAATAATCTAAGTTTTTTGTTTCTAGTAACTCTCAAATTTTCAACAATTTTCTACGTTGCCGCTTATTCCGTTTACCTAGTTTATCTCGAGCTTTTTGGCAACTTTCTGGTGACTCAACAATTGTCGTTTCTTTATTTCATAATTTTTGACTGCACGTTTTCCACCACAAACATAACACACTTTAACGCTCACAGTTACAGGGGCGGATCCAGCTTTAAAGTCAGGGGAGGGGGTTATGTAGAAAAAATACAGTCTTCTGTCATCTATGAAATTCGAAAAATGATCGTCGTTTTGTGCAAGGGTGGCGTAAGATTATTGCAAAATGTCATGTTTTCCGTCCCGTTTTGCATGTTTCTCGGAAGCAAACTGAGCAAGAACGCTCGTTTTTAAATCATTCCAGAGATAACTAAATGTCCTTTATTCGAAGTTATTTTTCATGGGGGTCATGACCCCCATGATCCCCCCCCTGGATCCGCCCTTGCCCAGTCAACGACACAAAACTGCACAATTGAGGCAAATTAATAAAGAAACTGAAGAAAGTGATTTACTTCCCTAAATAATTGTTTACATTCTGAAGATGTGACCAAACCTATGCACCTTCAAATCATTTAAATGCCATTTTGTCGACTGACTGTTCTCGCAAAAAGTGTATTGGTATTTTACAGAAATATGTATATAAAATTTCTACACTTAAATCAAGCAAATAAAAACAGATTTTAAAACTTCTATCTACTTATTATTATTATCTGCAGCTTTTAAATCGCAGCACTGAATATTTTCAATAAATTTTCAGTTTATTTGGCTAATAATAACCCTGGCTGAGATTGACCTCGTGCAGTTAATTAATTTTTCTTGAATTCCCATACTACATGTGTAAATTAATTCGCCTTGGAAGCGATTACCAGCAAAACTAACTGTTCAGCCCCGGTATAAATTGTTTCCCACGCTTCACTTTTCAACTTTTCAATGACCGACGCCGACCAACAGATTATCAGGGGTTCATGTTAATTCAGCTACCACACCGTTGCCAAAATGGGTGGCTTTTATCACTTTGCCAGATTTTTTCATTTAAGAGCTGTTGTGTGTTCGAGGAGTTAAAAGAATTATTTCCATAGCGGTGTTGAGATATGTAGATTTGACAAAATTAAATTAGATAAGTAAAAGCCTATTATTGTCTGTCAACCTTACATGAAAATATACGGATTTCCATCAGTTTTCCATCAAAATGTGTTAATTTGGATTTGTGTTTAATGATCAGTAGAAAAAAATCAAGTTACATGGTACCAAAGGACAATAAACGTGACACCGTGGCAAACGGAGATGAGGTTATGATTGGGTCTGGGTCGTGGGAAAATCTGGTGTGGGAAAAAGTGGGTGGAAGAAGCCGAATAATTATTATTCGTTATGACGACTTGTCGACTATAAATTATTTTCTTCCAATTTTTTCTCAATAAAATCCCGGATATTTCTACGACGTTTTACGAAAAATAACAGTAAAAGTGCTTGCAAATTTCTTATGCTGAAAACGATGAGGATAACACGGTGCCTGAATAATTCATAAATACTAGAAGAGTCTAACTGTCCTGATTCTATTTTAAATCAATTAATTGTCGGGTACAGTTGGAACGCTGATCTTTACGCCCATCAAGGGCCACCAAACAACAGCTTAAATTTGTGTTTTTGTTGTACAGTCGCTATTTGAGCTACTGTAAGCAAAGCAAAGATATAGAATTTAAATAATAATAATAATTGTTGGAGATTTAATCCTGATAACTCCTGTGTTGGCTCATAAGTGGAATTCTAGATTTTTTCAAAATATTTAAATATTTTTTATTGAAACACATACTTTTCTTGAACATTCATCACTTTTGACCAATTTAAAAATATTCTAAGAGGATCTAACTGAGACACACTTATAAAACATTAAACCTACATAAAAAAAATTGCGAGCTGGTTGAAAAAATAAAAATATATTTTTGTGTTTCTAAACTCAGAAAAAAATCCGAAATAAAGTACAGATCCAACGTCCCAGCTGTAGGAAGATCTGGATCAATAATAGGTAATTGAAGGCCGCTCTAAATTATGCACAAGTTCATGTGCACAAGTGAGACACTACATGATCGGTCACACAGCTGCGTCTAAACTACTGGGCTTTCAAACTACTTTGACATCAAACAAGAAAATGACAACTAACCTAAAAACATTATAAACAAACAAACATTTTTTAGCCAATTTTTTTTAAAGAAATTACTCTTAAATGGGAGTTCACGGGTTATGGCGACTGATAGAACCATCGGGAAAACCTGTGCCTTTAGAGACGCTGGAAAACAAAGTGCTGGCAGTCGGTATCCTTTTCAAACTGCATGTTTTTTCATACTCCTCAACACTACGAATATTCGTACCTTAGTTACTACGCAGATATTTCTATATGGCTCCACCAGGCAGTTAAAGGGTTTCAAGACGCCCGTGGCGGCTCCGTCCCGAATGCTCATTTGCTTGGAATCTACCATAGAGTCTGCAAGCTTTTGTATTTCAAAATAAAGCCCGTGTTTGTTTTCGATGGCGGAGTCCCTGTTTTAAAGAAACAAACTATTGTAAGACAACACGAGCTTTCTAGTGAGATTCTTTATCGTCTCAATGTTCCAGGCGAAGCGAAACCAGTCGAAGTTAAGAGACCTTTCTAAAGCTGATGAAATCCACAAACAACTGTTAGATACTTTATTAAAACACACTGCGGTCAGTAAAGTGATAACAGAGAAAATCGAGGCATCGATGGGCCTTCCCAAAACTCGTCCAAAGCAAGATGATCTTTACGTGTTGCCACCCAGTAGCGAACTGGACAGCACGCTGTCCAGTTCAGAAGAAGAATCCTACACAGACGACACAACCAGCGAATCCAGTCCAACGAAACAATGGGATGTCCATACCATCGACATGAACAGTGTCCATTTCAAGTCACTACCTGTCGATGTTCGCCATGAAATTTTAACAGACTTGAAAGAGACCCGAAAACAGTCCTCCTGGGGCAAGCTCCCATTGCTCAAGAAAGCTTCCAAACATTCATGTGGGTTTTTGCAGGTAGATTGCATGAGCTGCCGAAAGTAAGCGACGATTTCTCAGTCTTCCAAATGCAAAGATTGCTGAAGAGACAAGCGGTCCAAACAGCTCTAGAGGATGCCGAAAAGGAGATGGGGGGCAAGTCTTTGAGCCTGGCAGAGCTGGAGTCAATTCTCAAAGACCAAGGAGTGCTAACCAATCAACATCTAGGCAATCGAATAGCTTCGGATGAATCCACTAAGTAAACCAGGTTCACTAAATATACCAAGTTCATTTAATTATAGATTGAAGATCCTTGCAGGTATCTCTTGGTTAAAGATGTGAAGAAAGCCATTGAAGAGGCGCGCCAAAAGGAAGATGAACGCAAGCAACTCAGCAACCCAATCCATAAAGTCTCAGAGGACAAACCTTGTAAAGAAAGCGAGAGGTTTGAGGCGAAACATTTAACTCCAGCCGCAAGCGGCAGGGAAAAAAGCCTTCCAAAAGCCGACGAAGAATATGAGGAAGACTTGAAAAGAGCCATAGCTCTTTCTTTGGAATGCACCGCAACTCCAGAGCCCCCTAAAGAGGCACCTCCAGCCCAATTTTCTTTCCTCGACAATTTTCCAGAGGCAGATTTCTCCTGCAGCTCAAGCGATGAAGATTCCTGCCCGGAAAAAGAAAGTCGCAAACTGTCTTCAGCCCAAAGCTACATGCAGGAATACAGCGGACTCACGCCTAATGAAATCTCGAAAATACTGGCCAACAATGCGAAATCCGCCGCAGTTAAGCCGAAAAAACCCGGAATAAAATGCAGCCAAAACTTTCAACCGAAACTAGCCACTGTTACAGAAAACCCGCCCGCGGTGGCAAATGCGCAAAAGGCGGATAAATGTGAAGACTCAGTGGAAATCATGTCAACAAGCGATTCTGAGGAATCAGATCACGAACCTAAAGCGCTGGACGTTTTTGTGGATCCTACCAAAGAGTTTGAAGAAGATGAGGATTTATTTGCCGATATTTTTGCAGCCCCACCCACAAAACCCGACTTGCCTGATTTGAACAATGCACCACTAAAAAACGCCCCAGATATAGCAGAGAAAGTTACAAAGGAACTTGTGGTAAAAACTGTAGATGCGCCCAAAATTATTCAGAGTGTGGAAAATAGCGCCCCCGAAGCAAGCACTTCAAACCCTGCAAAGGAAATTGATGGAAGAAGCCAGGAGGCTCCAAGCCAAGCTGTTGAAAGTCCTACCATTGAACCTCCGGTTTCGGTAAAGGAAAAACCTCCTTCATTGACCGAGCAGGAACTAAAGACGCTAAAAGATCAGCTGCAAGTGGACAAGGTGAACCTGAGCAACGAAAAAGCGACTCGAGAACGAATGGCAGGCAACATCACTGACCAAATGTACCAAGAAGCCCAGGTAAAAATTCCCAATTGAACCGGCAACATTTGCATTAATTCCCGTTTTTTTTCAGGAACTTTTAGAGCTATTTGGAGTTCCCTACGTGGTGGCCCCAATGGAGGCTGAAGCCCAATGCGCATTTTTGGACGCGGTTGATCTAATAGATGGCACAATCACGGACGACAGCGACATTTGGCTGTTCGGAGGTAAAACCGTGTACAAAAACTTCTTCAATCAGAACAAGTACGTGATGGAATTTAAAACCGAAAATATCCAGCACCACTTCAAGCTTACTAGAGAGCAGATGATTCTGTTGGCCTTACTAGTGGGGAGTGATTACACTGTGGGTTTACAAGGGGTGGGTCCAGTCACCGCGCTGGAAATACTGGCAGCTTTTCCTCCAAGCAAAGGAAAAACCAGCCACATTAGCATGGGCCATCAAGACCTTCTATCAGGACTGAAAGAATTCAAGTCATGGTTCACCAAAGGAAAGTCTGCAGGACCTGGACGTTCCGCATTGAAAAGCAAGCTGAAAAACGTGGGATTTTCGGACAATTTCCCCAGCGTCCAAGTGGTGCAAGCTTACTTGGACCCGACGGTGGAAAACAGCGAAGAAGCATTTTCCTGGGGCAGGCCCAATGCTTTGGCCCTTTTGGAGTACGCTCGCGATAAATTCGGGTGGACCAAAACCAAAGCTGAAGACATTTTAAATCCGGTCTTAAAACGCTTGGAGGAGAGTAAACATCAGAAATCCATCAGGGACTATTTTAAAACGAATTTCAAGATCAATTCGGGTAAAACACGTTTTTCCTAACAGCAGAATTTGGATTAATTCAGTTCCTTGCAGGCGACACAGAAGGCAAATTGAGCAAAAGAGTGAAGACAGCGATTAACAACATGGGGAAGGATCCAGAAGAAGTCATCAAGCAAGAACTAGAGGAAGCCATGAGAAAAACCACTTCCACAAGGAAAAGGGAGCCGAGAAAAACGAAAGGCAGGAGGGCCCCAGAATTTTCTAAAAAAGCCCCAAGTGGGCAAGAAGGTGAGTCAAAGGAGCGTAACCCCGATAAAGTGAATTTGAAAAAGTTGAAACCTGCCACCCCATCGGAGCCAGAGGAAACAACCCAACAAAACCAGAGGAAATCTAATTCGAAAAAGCCAAATGCACTGCATTTACCCACTACCAGTAGTAGTGAACCGAAAGAAGGCCCGGATGGTGATGAATCTGTCACTGAGAAGATAAATCGGGTCAGAACAAGGCGAAAACTGATGGAATTAAAAGCGGCAGCTGATCTAAAAAAGCCCAAACTAGCCAAAGAAAAGCCCAAAGACCTGAAGGAAGATGAAGAAATAAACCTACTCAACCAAGTCATACAAGCGTCCAAAAAGAAGGTTGACGAAATTAACAAGGAGTTGCAAGCGAAACTTGAAAAAATTAACCAACAACCAAGCGAAGTACGAATTTTCAGACATCAAGGAGCAAAAAACATTACAATATACATTTTAGGTTGTTCCAGGCCCTTCAAAGGAACCATCCAATGCGCATCGTCCTGTAAACCGCCCTACACGAATACCCCGAAAGGAATCCATACCGCAGAAGGAAAAGGACAAATCCACCCTGCTGAGGAACAAGTTAAAGGCAATCGAGGTTTTCAGGAAAGGAAAACGGGGGCCTGGGTTTGTCCCAAAGCGAAATCAGGGAAAAAGGTTGCCCAAAACTGAAGCCGAACTGTCTGAAAGTAGCGATGACTGATTTATTTTGAGATAGGGATGAATGGAATGTCATTTTATGCTCAGGCGATTTATTACATTTACACTAGATTTATCTATTTTGCTGTTTAGTTTCGACTGTTTATTTAAGTACTTTATTATAAAATATAATGCTGTCATTGAACGAATTTTTACTCCAATTTTAGATCAAAAACGCGATAAGGCAAAACGATATAAACTTGAGGCTATCTAAGAAAATCAGCGATTAACGAGTTTCTAACCGTTGTGGTGTTTCGTCGCAAAAACACTGTTCCCGATTTAAAATAATAGGAAGAATCTGTTCAAAATTTATTGTTGGTAAGAAATCAATTATATATTCTTCTATTGGCCTTCAAACAGTTCCCAGTAGAATATTTTGTTAACTCTGTGACCTCATCTTACAACTACATATGGACTTAAGTGTAAAACAACCCTTAAATACGTAATTATGCTACTGGAAATAATTTACAAAAATCGAACGTTGGGGCTCAAACAAATAATAAAACTACACTTACAGAAATTATGTATTCAAATCATTGGGTATAGAAGGGCAGCCAAGACCTTATCTTTACTGATGAGAATAGCGAGCCAATTCTAACATCGATATTTTCACTGTACCAACAAATCACCGGTCATAATTTCCACGACCATTTTCTTTCGCAAATACGGCATGTCGTCTTGCGAAAATACGATTTTGGCATTGCGCGTAATAAATTCCGCAAAAGTGCATGCGAACATGCCGCAGTCGCTTCCATTCATTTGTTGTGGGATATCGTCCATGTTCTCCAACGTGAAGTCTTTGGTGTTATACACCGAACTCTTCTTGTCCATGTGTTCAGCTTCTAGATACTTCCTTAAGGCTTCTAGGCATTTAGTGTTCGGACTGCCCATGCTGTCGTAGTACCTAAAAATCAATTAAAAGTAATGCTTTATTCTGCAAACAACTAATGCCACTAATTACCTGATGGATTTATCCCTGAAGTCAATTATAGCCATGCACCAGTGCATACCCAAGTGTATCGGAACGCAAATAAGATCGTAGCAAAACAAGTCAACTTTCTTGGTCCAACGTCTCAAAGATTGAGGTCCATCCTTGGTCAGCTTCGTGTAGAAGAATGTATTGAAAGCGTAGGACTTGGGCCATTTCGGGTTCTTTCCCCTTTCAATGATGAGATTCATGTAAAAATTGATCACCTCATCATTGAGCCAGTTCAGCCCTGAAAGAGTCATCAGGTCCCTTCTAGTTATGTTCAAATTGAACTTCTGAGCCAGGACTTCGTTCGGAGGCCCTCTAAACGCCCTATCCACCATGCGCAATTGCTCATCTGTTAATTCCGGAAGTTCACTATCGGCGTCTAATATTATTTCAGGCAGAATCAGATCTTTGAGTTGAAGACAGTCGCTGACTTTGCGCCTCAGCAGTTCAATGTTAATGTCCCTATTTAACTCTTCTGATTGCTTGTTACATTGTCTGATGTTGTCGATTTCGCGTTGTCGATCTTCAACATACTGTCTATGGTTTGCTACTCTGAAATCACAAAAAACGAATGATGGAAATTCGAGCTACAGGCTTTATATTCCATAAACTGGATAACTAACCCTATTCCGATTAATTGGCAAAAGTATTTAGTGAAAAAACACAACACATTTCCCATAATTGCCGATTTTTCATGCTTTTTTAGTTTATGTCGAATGACTGTCAAATTTCAGTGAAGTTTAAGAACGAACTGGTTTAAGGTGAGACTTGCCTATTTATCACAAAGTAACTGATACTAATACTATAAGTGATACTTAAATATCCTTACATTTTGGTTAGCCAGTCTCCTTTGCTTGCTTCGGAAGAATCTACAATTTTCTTTAAACTGTTTATAGGATCAACCTGGATATCCGGCTTGGGAGATGGAGGATTTACGATAATGACACTGTCCTCAGAATCCGAGTCTTTTACGACAACTGGATCATTTTCTAAACCGTCCAACACTTTCATAATCCTATTTTTAACAGTGTCTTTAGGCTTAACTTCAGTTTTATTCAAACCTGTAGGTTTAGCTGAGTTAAACAAGTTGTAACTTTCAAAAATTCTACCCACTGGCGTGTGGAAACTCGATGATTCACAACCACTGGACTGCTCAAGCAGTTTTTTATACCGAATTTTGTCTTCCAACTGATCCGAATAGTCCGAGAGTAAAAGGGAATCACGCGATCTATTCTTTGGGGATCTGTATACAGGCTTGTCTTTCGGCTTTGCACCCCTTTGAGTGCTGCCAGATCCTGCAGAAAACTAACAATCAAGTTTCACTTAAAATAGACATCACAACTTACCTATGGTGAAAAGACTCTTTTCTTTGACGGGTTGTGCCTTGATGTAGTCGAAACCCAGCAATTTCGCTTCTAATTGTCTTCTTGCAGGAGTTTTGCTGCTTTTTACGAAAATGATATCATCATCTCCATTCTGAGCGCAATTTGTGTTAGAAGTGGTATGCTTTTGAGACTGAACTTTAGAGAAATATGGTGTAGACGCGTGGTTTCCTCTGCTGTGGAAATCGAATCGTCTCGGCACCTCGGTAATATCATCTTCATCATCAACAAACACAACCTCTTCGGCTCTCAGAGCGCTCATTGGCTTTCTGTTAGTCATATGAAGAACCGAAGGGCTTTTGGAGTGGTCTACTTTACGTGGCAACAAACACGAGCCTAAATAAATAGAAACATTTGCTGAAATTGCCTTCCGATGACTCCACATGTGCCATAAACAAAGAGTAGGAAATATACCTAATTCCTGGAATTAGGCTGCAAGATAGGTAGATCCCTAATGTTAAGCAAAATGACCCCTAACTTACCATATGCCTCGTTGATAGGTGTAATCCTACTGGAAACATTGTCAAAACAAGGCGACATTTTCATAATTTTAGCCCTGCTTGGAGTATCGAAAATCGAAGACCTAACAACATAAATCGTAAACCCTAGTCTAGTTTAAGTACCTGAAAACTTACCGGCGTTTCCGAACCCCTTCAGGCTGTGGAAACGTGAAGAAGTTTCGAATATACTCTAACACACTCCTTAGGGGTCGCTCCATTGGGCACTGTTGGGGCACCCAATCACATAAATATAACAATCTTCTACCGAAGTCTACATATGAAATGGACGCTTGGTGAGAATTTAAGGTTAGTTCTAGAAGCAATTGGCTGGCGAGGCAAAATGCACTGAATTTTCAACGAAAATTGTGGGCGATTGAATAAATGATGCGCTCAGGTGCAGAAATACATAGAAAACACTAATCAACAACAAACCTGGAACCGGAAAGAAAATGTTGCTGCTATTTTTAGTTTGACAGTCGGACGCACGCGGGGGGATATTTTGTGGTCGGACGACAGCGCAGATCCGGACCATAGATAAAAATAGGTCCGGACTTGCCCATCGATGAATACTGAATCTGAATTGTCCCGCCCGCACGTTCAAATTTGAGCACGAACGCATGAACGTCATAAGAATATTCGCTCAGGAACGCGCCGGGTTTTATTCTACGCGAACAGTCTGAGCATATTTCCAAAAATTTTTTTTTTATTCAAAGGATGCGTCAACGTGTGAATATGATCACCTCATTCGCACTTGTAAAACGTATAAAAATTAAATTCTGAGATTGTTTAGGAAAATACTGGCGTTGTAAAAGTTACCTCGAGTGTTCCAACTGTTGGATCACCGTACTTATTTATCCAAAATAATAAATAATTATTCATGACGAATCACGTATGTACCAAAATTAAACTAATTTAATTAATCATTAAGTTTTATTGTACAATTAACTATACGAAATTATAAAAACGATGTTCTTGCAAATTGAATGCACCTTAAAAAACAGAACGTGAATGCCTAAATTCAATAAATCGATCTAGTTCATTAAGGTGCATATTCCCAGTTCGGCTAATAACGAAAGTTTTGTACAAAATGGCAAAATTAAACAAATTCACTAAAATAATAAATTTAGTTCTAAAATTTATACAAAAGCACCAAAAGTTGTATCGACTAAAAACCGACGACATCTTGGGCCAGACCCATATGTTTTTTCTCATTTTATCACATTTTTCCCCATTTACATAATATGTGTATGACCCATGCGATAAAATTGATAAATCGCGAATAACTTAACGAACGAACACATTAATATAAAATATAATAAATATACAGATATTTATAAAAATACAGCAAAATTAAGGAAAGCAAATAAAATCGATAATTCCAAATAATTAAAGTTGAAAATATTACTTAGAAATATTTTGATGACTTAAAACTAATGAATTGATACAATTCACGTTAGAAAAGCAGCTTTCCAGAAAAACTGCCTAAAAACGGCAAGATTCCTGTAAGATTATCAAAAGGAACACCTAGAAAATATGCTATTAACATCTTGCCTAGTGAGCTATAAAAGATTACAAGATATTTAGTATCATTTACAATAATGGACATTTTCTAATATAATTTTCAAATTCACTTTCAAGTGTTAAATATGGCATTAATTCTGCCTGTAGACGGGCAAAATAAACGGAATACCTTATTGATAAACATTCGTTGAACTAATATAGTTATACGAGGTGAATATCCATGTGCCCTTTACGTGTTTACAATATAAATCAAATAAATGCCACTACTATAGACAAATATACAATTAATTGTACTTTAGTAACACGCAAATGTGCTCAGTGGCTTTCTCTAATGTTTGGACCAAGCTCACAGACCTTCAGAACTAAAAGATTTTTTTTCAGACTCCTAAACGATGATATGATTCAAAATAAAAAACCATCCTTAATTGACTTAACCAAAAAAATGGAAATTTACCATAGCCTATATCTACCACTACAGTCGTTTGTCAGAATCTTATGATTTACTATGTCATCAACCTGATGACATAGTAAGTCCTCTCCTGATGATGAAGTTTCCTACTGGTTTGATTTTGGCCCAAAACACTCGCCATTGGCACACTTTGTATATTCCCCAAGCAGAAAAATGCCCTTTGCAACTCTCCAAAAAAACCAGTCAAAATACAACCCAAAAGCCTACACTAAAATCAGTTCTGCATTCACTAAAGAATGAATTACCGTCAGCTGTTGCTGTTGGAGGTCCGTTTTCTGCCCTGTTCTTTTACGCTATCAAAGTCCGTTTTCTTGCCCTTAGTCAGCGCCAGCATAGTGACGAGCTTCTTGGGCGAATCCCCCACTATCCAGCCATGCTGCACCGGCCTATCATCCTCGTCATACTCCTCTCTGATTGGCTTGATTTCGATCAGGCTCTGCGATTCGTCCTCACTGGAGCTCGACCAATGATAAAGCGGGTTAGCTGCCGCCCTCTTTCGCCTATTGGAGGCGGTTGTGGTACCTGTGGAGTCAGTGCTAGAAGGCGGTTTGGGTTTTCTCACTGGGACGGGTTTCTTTTTCACGGGCACTTTCCTGGATAACTTGGCAGCTTCCGACGCTTTGCGCTTTTCCTCCTGGTTGTGAACGGGGATTTTGTGACTTTCCAGCATGGCTTCAAAGGCCTCCTCATCCGAGCTCCAGTACTCCAATAGAATGTTCTGTTTGCCGCTGGTGCAGGTTCGCTGGCTTTTGCGGCTCGCCACTCCTATACACTCTTTCAGCTCCAACTCCAGGTTGATCCCCGAGTCCTCCTGGTTGTTCTTTCGGTTCGAGCGCTTCTTAGTGGTTCGGCTGATGTTGAACTCGTCGTCCGATGAGCCGGAATTGCAGCGGCCCCGTTTGCGACTCTTCACCTTGCCGTTTCTCTTCTTAGGTTCGCTTGGTTTGGGTTTTTGCGATTTCGGGGTCTTTTCCGGTTTGGTTTCGTTGGTTTCCTTGCCCACCAGTCGGTCGAAGAGGATGTTCATTTCCTCTTCGGACATTTTTGGCTTTTTCGGAAGTTCCTCCAAGGGGGGAGGAGGCGGGAGTGGCAAGTAGGGGCTTTGAACCCGCTGGCAACTGCGAACGTAGTTCTCCACCAGTTCCAGGTTGTCCATCTCGGGAATTTCAGGTATGTTTCGCAGATCCTCGTCGATATCCTCCATTTTGGATTTGGCGGCATTTTTGAAGATCTTCCCCATTATTTGGTACTTTTTCTTGGTGATATTCTCCGGGGCGACTTCTGGCTGTTTGGTCGACACCGATGAGCTGCTGGAGATGGACTTGACATCCTCCTGTATGAAGTCTGGATACCCCGAGCTGTCGTTATCGCTGCCCAAGTGCGACTCTTCATTGGTGTTCCGTTCGGAAGGCGTTTTGGGAAAGTCATACGCACTTTCCGACACATTTGCACTATCGAGAGTTTCATCAATGAGGCGCAACTTCTCCTGCTCCTTTGGCACGCTTGAACACAAGGCTTTATTCACTTTGAACAGCAACTTGCTGCCAACTTGAGACTTTTTCACGGGTTTCGACTTTCTGGTCGATCTGGGCTTGGAGGGTGACTGTTGTTCCACTTTGTCTTCAGCTGGGGCGACTGAATTAAATTCGCTTCTTTTGCTGGTATTTAAAAGGTCCAAATTTAGGTCATCTGTGGGGATCGAAACTTTCAACCCTTCGTACACTTTTCGAGCGCCTTTTGTTGCGATCTTTCGACTGGTGGACGAACTGTCGCTGTCCTCGCGTCTTTCTTCCATTGAGAGCTGATTTTGAGCGAATGTTTCGGCAAAACTGTCATTGCTTCTGGAAAATTGCCAATTCTTGTTAGAAGCTCATGAAATTCAGGATTTAATAAAATTTCACTAGCTTTTATAAAATACGTGCTTCGGCTAAAAATGCCTTCTACGAATTTAGGAGGAATTTTACTAGCATACATCAAGGGCGTTTGACCTGTGGAAGCATTGAGGAAAATTAGCCTTCTTTCGCGAAAATAACAAATATTTTAAGTGCATATGCACAGAAAAAAATTGAATTTTGCTCAAATTTACAAATTGCGTGAGCCGCAACTGCAAGAACGACGCCAATTTTTCTAAACTCCCTGTAGAAGCATGCTGTTGAATTATTTAGATGAATCAAAATTCTATAAAACAACAAACTAGGAAAAGGCACAAAAACGCTGTAAGTAAATGTATTACACTATGCGCTTGTCCCCAATTTATTCGCCAGTAAATTGGCCAATAATTGAGCCAGTAAATTTGCGACAAAAACTTCTTTTTAACGAATTTTTACTGATAAAAATTGCCTACCTATCAAATTCCTTGGTGAAGCCCTCAAACTGATTCCTCAGCCCTTTGGTCAGCATCTCCCCAAACGACATCCCCGACGCCTCCTTACTCTTCACCTCACCAAACGAGAAGCTCCTATTCTTGTCCAGAGGCTTCTCCGACTTCAGATGCCAGTTGGAGGAGATTGTGTTCGAGTTGGACGCCTCGTCATCGTAAGTGTCTCCTAAAGGGGTCGGCGTCCTCGAATTAGCCGAGTATTCATGTGCTTCTTCGGCCGGTTGAAGCAGCTTCTTCTCCTCCAAAATCACCGGTTCATCAATCGGCTTCTCCATCCGTTTGGCGAAGTTGGAGTTGGATACTTCCGAGCCACTTTTCAGCAGGCTGCAGCATTCCAGGAAAAGTTCTTCGTCCCGGTTGAGGGTTTTGCGTTGCTCGAACACCTTGCCATTGGTTGAGTCTTCAGATATTTCCTCGTATTGGGTGGGTTTCACGAAGTCGGTGGAGTCGGAGTTAATAGGCGCGTTTTGCTGGTGCGCTTGCTCCAGATGAGAGCCGTTGGAACAGGAGGAGAGGTCTTCGACAAAGTTGCTGGTTTTGTTGGTGGAGATGTGCTCCAAGTTGTTCCCGATAATGTTCTCCAGGAGGTTTATTTGGTTTTCCAAAATAATCGTCTGAGACAATGTGGGCGGCACATATTGACTGGGCGAGAAGAGAGTGTCCGACTCGAAGCTCTTCCTTTCCCCCACACTTTTGTATTTTCGAATGTCCATGGACTCCTTATTGAACTGCTTGTCCGCGCTGTAAGTCTCCATGGCGGGTTTATTCAGCACATCACTGATGATATCCACTAGTTTCAGCGAATGGGAGTTGTGCAAAGAGGGCGATTCGCCCTGAAAGCCGATCTGAGTCCGTTCCGAAGGTTGGAGGATATCGGAGATATTAATTTCCTCTCTTGGTTCTGCTTGCTTAACACTCTTGGCCTTTTCTTCAGCTTCCTTCGCTTCAATTTCCGATAGCTTCGATATGTGCGTCAACGTGGTCTTGTGCTTGATCAGATTCTCCACTCTGATAAACGACTTTTTGCATATGTCGCAATAGTTGGGCTTCTCCAGCACGGTTTGGCAGGGGCCGTTGTCCACTTGGGCAGCTTCCGGCGTTAAATTGACCTTCTTCTTACTTTTGCCTAGCAGATCCTTGATGTTCTCGGGAGTATCTTCAGTAAATTCGTATATTTTATCAGCATTTTGGCTGCTTGCCGTAGCGGCGGTGTGCACTGAATAGTCATCCTCATCGTCTTCATCGCTGATTCCTTGAAAGGCGCCATTTGAACTGTTCTCGTTCACGTCCTCTAGGAAAGAGTTGATTGGTTTTGGTGCGATGGCAGATTCATTCTCAACCGCCGACTTCTTCAGCAGATCGAACAGTTCTTCGCTGCTCAGCTTGGGTTTGTCCTGGGGGGCTGTATCATTTTTCACTGGATTTTTCTCCCTTCGAGCCGATCGGTTCCTTCGACTCTCCAGAGCATCGATAATCGGATCGATCAAGTCGTTTTCGTTGTAAGACGCCACCTTGCGACTCTCTCTTCGGCTTCTTCGCAACTCCAGCCCTTCGTTCGCCTGGTCTTCCGGCTGTTCTGTGGGTTCTTTCAGTTCTGGTGCTTGATCGGCTTCGACAGCGCCATTTGCACTGGGACGCTCCTTGGACATGCTGGTTAGGGAATTGTTGATAACTTCCAGCTCGTTGAGTAGATTTGACTCGTATTGCCCCATGGGCGTGTTCAGGATGTCGTTAACCTGCTCATCCAACAGCAACATGTTGGTTTTTTGGTCTTTAGTGGAATTCTGTTCTTCACATTCTCGGGATTTGGTGGGTTTCGCTTTGGTCTTGCCAGGTCGGGCGCCTTCGGGTTCAGCTCTTCGAGGGCGAGACTTCGAGGATTTGCGATTCTTCAGGTCTTCTTCGATAAAGTCGTAAACATCGTCGCATTCCAGCGATTTATCGATTTCGTCCAGGACCGGGGCAATGTCCATTTCGGAGCTGCTGATCATTTCCGACAACGGCAAAATATCGTTGGTGCTGTGACTAGATTTTGTGAATGTGTTCAGCACGTTTTTCAACGCCGTGATGCTGAGACTCTTCCCAAGCAACGACTTCTTTTTTGGCTTGTTGTTGCTGTTGAACAACTGCAACTTGGAATGTTTTGATTTTTTGCTCTTTTTCTTCGATTTGGCTTTGTCGGTTCTACCGGCTTGATCAGAAGAACCTGACTCGGGCTCATAAGCCGAATCCGGCACTGCGTGGCTACTGAATAACAGGTCTTTGATGTTAAGCTGAGCCAGCTGGATTTGACGCTCGCTTTCTGGAACATCTGGACGCTGCGCGTCTAGCTGCTGCTCAGTTGGAGGCAAAGATTTTTGTTCCAGAACCACATCCTCCATTGGCTCTTCTACTCCCCTCGGGAGGTTGTAGTCGGGCTCTTCATTTATATCTGAAGATTTGTCTGCAGTGTCTTCATTCAAGGTTCGGAGGCTCGGAAAATCTTCAACTCGCTGTAAAACTGGAAGCGATTTATCCTGGTCGCAAGAAGCAGCTTCAATGCCCAGCTCAGAATCTTCAGCTATTTTTGAGATCGCTTTGCTTTTCCTGGGCGGTCGCCTATCTGAGGCCAGAATGTTAGCCACGTCAATGTCCATGTTGTTCTTCTTGACTTTCTTCAACTGCCTTTCGCCTCTTTTCACCTTCGGGTATTTCTCTCGGGGACTTTTCTCAAGCACCGTCAAAGCTTCCTCAACATCCTTTCCTGCGCTTCTCTTAATGAGGTGATTTTGGTTTATTTCGAAACCATCGGCCTCATCGCCACTGTCTTCAAACTCAAACACGTCTTTTGCTACCAGAGCAGCCTCCAGTTCCATGTGGTCCTCAACGTTCTGGGAGTTTTCCAGCAAGGGTGGATTTTCAGTTACAACCGCGCAACCTTGCAATTCATTAGGGTCTTCTTGCAAGCTAACGGCTTCATTTACTTTAGGGGAGCAGCTGTGCAAAGCTTCAGCAGCTGCAGTTGCTCCAGTATAATCGTCGATTGTCTGAAGCGGTTGTTCTTGCGCTGCGACTCCTTCAGATGTAACAGCAGAATCTTCCGCATTTTTAGCGACGGGCAGCAACGACAAACCACCACTTACAGTGGCTGATTTGCTGCGACACTTTCGCTTTGCTGGTTTCACCGGGTATTCCACATGATTCAACAAGGCTTCTTCGTTATAGTTGACGTTTTTCCTGCATCTTCTATTGAATTTGATTAAAAGTGGGCTGTTCTCCACTCTATCTGAAGGTGCGGAGTTTATTTCATATTCCACCGAAGAAGAATCGCAAGGCTCGTCGATGGTTGTTTTTGAGCCAAAATCACTTTTTTCAAACGATTTTGCGTCGGTGCTTTGACTACCAAATTCGTCGACTGAAATAAGGACTTTTGCCAAAGGAGTGTCAAGATTAGAGACTGGTGCTTCTGAAGATAGAGCGTCTGAGCTTTCAGTTACATTGAGCAGCGCGTCGTTAATTTCCGGTTTATTAGAAGAGGATAATTCGGAGCCTGTGATGATTAGATTTGGGTCCTGGATGTTGTCATTCTCAAATCCACTAGACGGGAAGGCGAGGTTGTGATCAATCTGGTCAAAATGATGAATATCGACAACTAATTTTGGAATCTCCAGGAAATCAACAGCTTTAAACGTGATTGGAGCGGTTTCTGAGTTAATCTCACTCGCTGCTTCAGTTTCTTCATGGTTCTTCCAGCCAGGATCACCGGCTTTACAAGCTGGCTCTAACAGAGGCGCTTGGCTCTTCTTAACACTGTCAGTTATCACAGAGTCTGGCAAATCAACCTCCAAACTTTCAGCGCTTTTTCTACATTTCCTGCTCTTCTTCGTCGGCGACTTTTTGAGATCCGCCAATTGCAATGTTTCCATCGCCCGCTTTTCCAAACTGTCCTCGTTGTAGTTGATCACTTTACGAGGTCGGCGGCTTTTGGTGGAAGCTTCATCGCAGAAAGGCACTTCTGGCAGTTCCACCGGCAAAACCTGGCCCTTTTCAGGCTCCTGCAGGTTTTCCTTCGGCTTGTCCACCGCGAATTTCATATTAATCTCGTCCAAATTGGCTTCAGAAGCCCCGGAAAACTCTGCATCATCCCATTTTTCACCTTCAATAGATTTCTCGCTTACAACAACCAGCGTGGGCTTTTCCAGTGGTTTACTTCGACGTCCAGACTTGTCTTTGGTGTTGATGATTTCGGTCAATACATTCGATTCAGTCAGGGGCTGGAATTTGGTTTGTTCATTGTCTGCAAGCTCGGCAAACTTTTCAGAGGCTGCTTGCTGCTGGAAGGCCTGAATGTTTGACCAGAGATCAGCGTCCTCTGAAATGAGGGCTTTCTTCGATTCGATCAATCTGTCCACGAAATCTGAGTCTTCCATCAGTTTTTCTATTCTGTTCAAATCGGCGATTTTCGCCATTTCAAAGGCGGTTCCATTGGTACCAGGCTTTTCTTCCAGGTTTTTGGCGGGTTGAGTGTTGGCAAGAACCGGCTCTTTGGGTTCAGCCAAAGTAATTTCTTCATGTTCTTTGAGCGTTTCACATAAAGAAACATCGGCTCTGGATGTAAGTAGAGCCAAGTCTGACAAAGTCTCCTTCAACTGGGAAATGCTCCCATTGTTTTCGACTGGTTGAAGGTTGATAGTCGATATGATTGGCTGAAGCGCGTTATCAGGAGGATCGGGCTTGGTTTCGTCCAATATTAAACCAGCAAGTGGCTCTTCATTGGAACTGATCAGTTTGAGGCAGTTGAACTTGTTAGACTGTCTCGATTCGGTCCTAGCACGAGCAGCAACTTTCCTTGCTTTAGATCTTCGGGATTTCTTGCCGTGGTTGAACTGGGCCAGTTCATTGCGCACAGGAACATTAGCTTCCTGGTTGGATTGCGTTTCTTCAGCTTTGCTTGTTACATCCTTTGGTTCTTCGGAAGCAATAGCAAACATTTCCTTCTGTAGAAACTCTTCTGTAGAAACTGAGCAGGGGATTTTCGTTCCTGCAGCTACAAGACCGAGAGGGGGTTCAAAAGTGACCCCATCAGCAATGTCCTTGTTCCGCTCGATGATGTTGCTGCTTATCGGAATGTCTTCGATCTCCATGTCCATTTCCTCCACTGAATCGTTCAGTGGAGCTTCGCTGCTCGAATCCTCCCCTTTGGAGTTATTGGGTTTCGAGAAAAAGTCCGAGTCTGAAAGATCGTCGCATACCGAATCGTCTACTATGGATGTTGGAGGAATTCGCTTGGTTTTCTTGTTGATAACCAAAGAGAAATTCTTAAACAGATCGTTTTCCATGGGTTCGATCTTCCTGGAGCTTTTCGATTTTCGTCTGGTTCTTTGGGAGAGTTTCAGTGCGTCTTCGGCATGTGGAGATTTTACTGGAAACTCTTTCACTGTCTCGCTGAACTGAATTTCGTCGGTTGCTGCTGGCTCAACGGCGAGAGATGTAAACGCTGTCGGTTTGCTCAAGGATGATTTTCTGCTGGAGCGTTTCTTGTTGTTGAGCACCTTTTTGCGTCTTTTTCTCTTAAGGTTTTCGTTTGCCACCTTTTCATTGCTGGCGTTGTTTTCCGCTTCCTCGATGTTCTCCTTCAGACTATCCGTAGTCAGGGCATCCACGTCCTTGGCTTCGCTCAGGAAATCTGGCGAACTTAACAGGCAGCTGGATTCATTTGGATCGCTCACTTCCTGATCAACGACTGGTTGACTTTCGTCCAGTTTAGCGATAACTGCCAAAGGAATCTCGTCTTCAGAATCGCTGCTTTGGACAATGGCTTTGTTCTCTAAAATGGTCGGCTCATTGGCAGAGCACATTTCCGGCTGTTCTTTGGAAGATGCGTTGGCAACGCTTGCAATGTGTTCTTCGGATATTTCCTGGATAGCCAGCTGATGGTCCAGGTTGGTTTCCAGGACCGCAGGGGCTAGATGGAATTTTTCCAAAGGTTGAGATTCTACAGGCAAAGAGACTGTTGCGGTTTCTTCATAAGAAGCCGTTGATACGTGTTGAATCACTTCGTCCAGATGCTGCAACGCTTCAGTCTTTTCCGAATCTTCAATAGTTCTGTCGGCTTTAGATTCGGCGTTCATTCTAGCAAGCAAGTACTCATTTTGCTTAATCTTGGCAATCAACGGGTTCTCCATATCGCTGAATGGGGCAATTATCAACTTATCCTTGCCAAAGATGATGTTGGTGATCAATGAATCGTCGTGCTTTTTTCTGCGCGGCTTCTTCGGCCGCCTCTGTTGCTTGTCTTCGAACCAGTCCAAACTGCTGTGTACCACCGAGTCTATTGTATCATCTAGCTGGCTTCTGCTGGCCGGTGCCGCCAACTTGTTGAGCACCACTTGTTGAATAATATCATCCACTGAAGTCCTTGAAGGACCATACAAATTCGGCTGGAAGTATTCGATTGAGGGCTCACCAATGCGAGTTAAATTAGGAGTGCTGCAACATTTCTTGCTGAGATCCAGAGCAGTTTCTTCTACGGTAGGAGAAAGGGTTTTTGGTCTGGAAACCGTGGCTGGAACTGGAAAACTGTCCAGCATGAATCGGCTTTCTGGTCGCGGTTCGGTGCTAGTCACAGACGAAGTGCTGAAGAGACTTTCCAAAGACGAGGACATTTTGTCCTCCTTCTGATGCAACTTGCTGGTGAGCATAGCAATACAGTCGTTCAAGCCCCGACTAGGCTTCCGGATTTTGCATTTCGGGCTGGGCGATATCATGGGATCACATTTGGGTGTTACAGTGGTATCGATCTTCAAGGCAGTGGATTCAGGCTTCAAATCTGACTGTTCCAGCTTTCCTTCAAAGCTCTCATTCCCTTTAGCCTGCATGCTCTTTTCCTCCTGGTTCTCCAATTTGAAGAACGTTTCAGGAATGGCCGGGTTCTCTTTAGCAGCAGTAGGGGCAAAATCTTCCTGGTCTTGACTGTCGTCTTTGAGTTTGGCGGGAGTGACCACCTTGACCTGCTCGACATCCTCCTGCAGGGGCGCTTCTTCTAAAAAAGGCTGATTTTCCGGTTTGGGTTTTTCAGTTTTCAGTTTCTTCACTTTATTCAGAACATTGCGGAAGCTGCGCTGAAGCTTTCGCTTCTTGGAGTTCACCTCGCGGCTTGGCGATGGTTCTTTACTGGTCTCTTCTTTTGATTCCGAGGGGGTTTCATTGGGTTGAAGCCGCCAAGTTTTCTTGGTCGGTTCACTTTCCTCTTGATCTTTAGTGTTTCGCTTTCGGAGACTCAGGGCGCGCACAAATCCCTTCAGACCGCCCTTTTTGTTCTTCTTCAACTGCTCGAAACTATCCAAAGGTTTATCGCTTGAAACATCCTCGTCCAGTTGGGGTGTTTTCTTCCCTGCATTGACCAGCTTCTTTTTGACTGGGAAGAAATTCTTCAGGTTCAAACGACCAGCCAGCAGCTGCTTGGTGGACTTCGTCCTCTTAACATCAGGTGGAGATTTAAAACCTTCTAGGGATTTTTTAGCAGGTTTGCGTTTCTTTGAACTCTCTTCACCTTCATTGTCCATAGGAGGTCCATCTTCTGAAACCTCCTCGTTTGACTGCGCGAGGTTTCGCGATAATCGCTGATTGCGAAGCACCTTCAGCTTCCTCTTGACCATCAACGACGAACTTAGATCGAGGATTCGACTGGACAGGACTTTGTTGAAGCTCCTTAGCGCTCTGTTGGTGCGCTGTTGGTTCCCCTTGGTTTTCCCCGAATCTGCCTGTTGTTTATTGTGAATAGTTTTGGAGCTTTTGGCAGCTGGTTGGTTGGCTGATCGCTTTTCCGCCTTGCGGGACTTGAACACCACATCAGAAAGGGACATGATGCATCGCCTGGAGCGTTTTGCGGGTAGGTTGGCCAACATTCGCTGAATTGTATCAGCTGAAACAACCGGAAAAATTACAAAATTAGTCCAGTGCATTTTCATATGATGACTGTGTCTTAATTTTGCTGTTAGAACATGCAGTCAAGGGGTACAAAGGAGAAGAGCCAGAGTCTACAATGCCAAATGCAAAAACAGAATTACTAGCATAATTATATCCTAAAATGTGAAACAGTTTCGAACGTCGAAAAGCAAGGACACAGAATATGAATTAACTTAGAGCAAAGAAAATTAAACGCAAAGTTATGAGTAATATATAAAATAATACATAACGAATGGAGCAGTTGAAATGTGCAAGCCTAAGCGCAAACTACATATTTTCAGAGAAAGTAGCATTAGATGTTTAATTCAACGAAGCTTAGAAGGGGAAAATGGACCGAAACCAACAGAGCTATAAAAAAGTTAACTTTTGATGCAGTTAAACTTACGCAATTAAAACCCGATATGGTTTCTGTTGCAGTCATTTTTCTGTAGCGAAAGTAAGAAAACTTACCATCACTGGGTCTTTGCCGAGGGCCCTCCACGGGCTTCTTGTAGGTTTTCTTCTCTGAAGGTTCAGTCTTACGTTTATTTTGCATTTTTGGTTCAAAGCCTGAAAACAAAACGTGGATTAGTTGGGGGGGAAACCTTGGAAGCCATGAGGGATAAATGAACCACAGAAATGAATAAATTTTGAATGTGATTGCCAACTGTCCACGACTTTTAGGTTTTTTTTGGTAGAATTGTACTCAGCCTAATAGTGAAACGTACCTCGTCGTTTTCTGCGAGATTTTGTGCCAAACGGTCGATATTTGCACTTTTTCCTGGCCAACATCCACGTCCAGTCGCCACCGCACTCCAACACATGCCGATGGAGTTCCCCCAAATTATTGCACCGTTTCCCGCACTTTGTACACGCCCGGGCGTCGCTCCTCTTCCATTGCTTGCAGGGAATCGTCTCCTCCACCACTCCCATCAACCCCAGTCCTGGAATGCTCAGATGCCTGTAGAGCTCGCCTTGGTTGCCCACAAACTCGTAATGCTGTACCCACACGTTCGGATGGTAGAGGCTCTTGTGCTCCAACATGTACTTCATGTTGGAGAACTTGCCCCCACATGCCGCGCAGATGTACATACGACTTCTCGCCCATTCGCCGGTGAGTTCTACTAGTTCGTTTTTTGCGCGAACAGTGTTGGTGGGCAGTTCGAAGTTTTCGGTTTCCTGCGAGGAGCAGATCAGCGCGATTTTGTCCGATTGGTCGATTTCCTCTTGGGTCGACGAGGTCTGGCGACGCAAGTTCAAATGCTCTGGAATGGGCCTTTGATCCAGCTCTATGCAACTGGAATCGGAGGCGTCTTTGTCATCTTTAACAGCGTCGTATACTCGGTTTAGGAGGTCGTTGACCACCTCGCGAACATCTGTGAATACCTCCTGGCTGACGTCGCTGCCCGATGAAGAGTTTAGCTTGTCAAAGGCAGCCTTTTTGCTGGCTTCCTCCTTGAGATCCTCGAACGGGCCCCTTCTATCTAGGATTTTGTTCAGCTCCTCCCGCTTGGCTTTGCTGATATACTCCTGGCAACTCACATACTCCTGTATCTGCTTGGCGTTTTTCTGCTTGTTGATGACCTTCTCCTGGCGGTCCTTGACCACCATCTGCGTCCACATGTCCAGCTTGCTGAGATCCCGGTTTTCCTTCTGCTGCAAAATGCTGGCCTGATATTTCCTCCTGGTGAAGTATTTGTAGTGAACCTCGTCACTTTTCACCTGCGGGCGCTTCTTTGAGGGTTTCGACCCATACTCGATTTGCAACTCAAAGTCTTCGCCGAATTGCGAATTCAGCGACAAAGAAGGTGCGGGAGTGATGGCATTGAGGGAAATGTCGCAGCCGTAGTTATCGGCGCTTGAACTCTGCACCTCCTGAGTAATGCTCGAGATTTTCTCGAAATTCGAAATTCTGTTTTCAGATTCTTCGTTTTTGAACAGCTTGCCATCGATGTGGTTCAGCAGGTTTTCCTCGATATTGCACTTGATGCGATTGAAGAACGCCTTGTCGAACACGTCGTCAAAGGTCAAAGAGCTGATCTTCAGGTTGTCGATGGAATGGTCGGTGATCTTCTTCACCCGGAAGTAACTGTCGAATTCTGGATAGGGGTTGACGCATAGCGCTTTGGATTTCTCCAGCGACTTGTTGCTTGAACTGGTTTCGTAGTGGCTTTTTCGGTCGCGGCGCTTTTTCTGCGCCTCATGTTCGCTTGCCTGCTGCTGCAGCCTCTTGCTGCGCTTCAGGGCGATTTTCGAAGTTTTGACCGCGATCTTCTTGGTGCGCAGCTCTTTGAGCTTGGTGTCTTTCTTGCGCTTTGAGACGCCGCAATTCTCTTCCACATCTAGAGGCTCTTCCGGCTTGTTTCTCACTTTGCTACGTGTTAGCTTGGTGGAAACTTCATTCTCCCGCGGAATTAGTTCTGGTTCCTTGAGCAAACCGGGCGCTTCAGTGAAATGTTGAGCGATGTTGTGATCGCTCAGACTCGACGAGCTCCTGAACCGCTCCTTACAAAATAAGCACCCGAAGTACTTGGCGGAATGTTCTCGCACCAGATGCTGAAAGAGATCGTTCAAAGTGTGCCCATTCGCGTTCAATTTATCACAATGCGAACACGGCGTGGTGCTCAACGTGTTTTGTCTTCGCGCACTCACTCTACGAGTTGACTTAACCAAATGGACACGTTCGACATGCTTCTGGAGCAGATTGGCGCTAACGAAGGACCGCTCGCAATATAGGCAGAGCAATTTTCGCGTCTGTTTCGCACCATCCTCAACCAGATCCACTGCTGGAAACCCGGCCTGCGTTGACAGTCTTTGCTGCTGTTGAGGACCGTTGATTTCCGTTGTTTTAGTTGGAGTCGGTTCAATTGCGGATTGTTGAGATGGGAGATCGCCATCAGCGGATTTTAGGGCGCCGCTTTTACAAGCTTCGTCATCGGCGTCCGATGACGATTGAGAACCGAGAGCGGCTTCGCCAGCCTGCGTACATCGGGTCTTTCCATTTCGATTTCCATCCGCCGAGTCGAACGAACCACTATTCACCATGCTGATCTCAACACTCAATCCTGTTTTTTCTGGCCTGCAAATCAAAACGACTTTAGTACTGGCAGCACAACATTCAGGCTTGAGAAGCTTGTCAAGATCCTTTGAAGACTGAGAAAGATTGGTACACTTTGCAAGAGTTTAGTGATTTATCTGCGGTCAAGACATATGGACAGTCAGTTGGTACATAAAGGGGGCTTTCGGTTGAGAGTAATCCTACAGTCTAAACAGCTTCGTTAGCAAATGAGCGGTTAACAGAAAAGCTTCTTAAATATTTGAATTAGGATCAGGCGTGTGAAAGAGAATATGCAAAACAATGCTAATGAAGATGGATTTTGAACCCGAAAATTAAATCCAGAAGCAATATATATTCGTGAATACACGAATATATATGTCCATAAGTCCTAAACTGATCGTGATAATCAGGAAAAAAAATTATTTAAAAACATACAGCAATTAAGTATTGACAATAACGTTAACTTTTAAGGGTTCTGTAAACAATTCTAATTGGTTGATGATAAGCCTTATCATTAACTGGCATGGATGACCTTAGCGATAAAACAATACCCTTCAACGAGACGAAGGTTTGATAGGCATGGGATAATGAATCCTAATTTGGGACAGTCTATTAACTCCAAACCGGACGCCTTTCTAAGATGCTTTTTGAACAGATTTAAATTGTATAATAGCAGACAATTGTATAAGTTACTCTCTCACAAAAGTCTGCGTTCATCCAACTAACTGATCAAATGAATACATTCTGTGATAAGCTATTGATTTTATTGAAAATCGGCGGCTTTTGCCTACTATTTTTTAAATAAAATATAGACAAAGCAGTGGTCACAAGTCCATACTGAGGAAGTTTTGAGTCGCAGAAATAAGGCGCAATTCTATCAAAAGCTAAATTGGAAATGCAAAATTTTACATTTGTAAGCAAGAAAAGAATTAAATTGTAGATGTGAGAAATTGAACATACAAACTAGAAAATGAACAAATCAAATGGCAAATAAAAACTATAATTAGAACCCTGCCTGGGATAAATAAATATAAATAAATCAAATTGTTCCTTTCCTTGCCCATTTCCAAGCCCAAGATTGAAGGATAGAATTAGAAGGGAAACGCGAAAATAAACATAAAAGCTCGTTATTTTTGCAGCAAGAATAAACCGAAAAGTTTTTTAGCTTCATTTAGGAGGTCGTGGAAAAGAATTTCGTCATCACGTTTCGCAAGCACAACTATCTTGCATCTTCAGAGGTCGTTTGTAAATCGAAATCAAGCACAAAACTAACGACCTGAGCATAATAGTCAAAAAATGAGATGAAACCTTAAATATGCGGAAAATTGTCCTCTTGAAACTGACCGAGCAGCACGAAGTAATTCTGACTCAGCGAAAACAGAAATATTAAGGAATATTGGGGAAAAACTGAAGTGGAAAAATGTTAATCAAACACCACCAAATGAGAATCATCATAGTAGGATGTTTAACAAAAGCAGCTGAGAAAAAATAATACATTTTTCGATATTTAAATAAATTACGTTTTGTTCCTAAAAAAATTGTCAAGAATAGAATTCAATCGCAAACGTTAAAGATATGGTTGGAACAGAAACTCAATAAACAATTGGAATGATAGCAGTAAGAAGAGGAAAAGCTGTGAAAAATCCAATCAACCCAAATTGATGGAAAAATGTGGAGGAAAACCTTTGAGTCAACACGATAAATTCAGATTGTCAGAAGTGGAAATATTGACGAAAAACTTGAGAAAAACAACAAAATAAGTAGAGTCATGGTTCGATGTTTAATGAGAGCGAATGGGAGAAGCAAACAATCTCTTGCTGAAACTAAGATTGGCTACAGACTTGTGAACATGCTGTGAGATTATTTGGAGGCATCAATCATTTACAGCGTGAAGATAGTTTTGGTTTTCAACGATTCTTCGGGCATAAATCTGGGCTATACGCGAAATTGATTCTTTATAACTGGACATAATTAAGTACAGAATTAAAATATTTTCGATAGTTTTACAACTAGGAATGAATTATTGGAATAAGCGTGATATTTTTAAGGCCACACAACAAAATAAACATAGACTTTGTGAAAAAATGCCACAAATGATTAAACTGCTTAATTAACAAAACGAGAAACTCTAGGCAAATAGCACATTAAACAATGCAACTAAAGTTTTACAATTTAGTGAACTTCAGATTGGGAAGGGAAATAAAAACACGTTAAATCCGATTCTTGACCAAATTGAGATTCTCCTCATGGATACTTTGGTGTTCCCATTCCAACTGGAGTATTTGAGACCCACCACGTGAACCCTTAGCAATTTCCACTTTCCAGAAAAACAGCGTTTAGGAAATACATTGATGGAGAGAATGTAGCACTTTTCTGGCTCGCCCACGGGGCAAACCATTGAATCCTCATCGAAATGGTATATTTAGGTTTCCAACAACAATCGTGGCAAGTGCACTTCTGACCAGATCCGAAAGTGAAATTAGTGTGCAGGAACAGCGCGAAAACCGAGCAGTGAGATGGAAAATTGACCCGTTTCGATGCACTTTCACCAGCTTTCGGCAGGCATAAAGAAAAAGTGGAAAATGTGTTCTGTACACCCTCTCGTCCAAGGACACACGTAACAAAACTGTCACAGGCAACTTACCAAAATGAGGTTAATCCAGGGCAACTTTAGCGGAAGGGGACATGGGGACGATGTCCAGGAACCCCCCGAGCACTTAGAGCGTACATCTCCTCAGGTTCCACTTAGTTTAAGGTTATTATCAACAAACAAAAACAACTTTGTTTTAATTTAGAATAGGGCGAAGCTCTTGCACGTACGCGCACACTGGCTCGTCCAACTTCACTTCCGCGAAACACGCAAGCGCCAGATCTGTCTCCAGCTGATTAAGTACTTTGAAAATGTTATTTTTACTTTTGAACGGTAATATTGGTTGCACTTTTATCTCTGCTTTGGTAGCTCTATTCATTCTTGAAAGTTGCTAACCCCTACTTCAATTTGGGGGGGCCCATTTAGCGCGAATATCGCACTGCAATGCTAGAAAACGCCGACTTTTTCTGGCTGATTGAAATCAATAAAAGTTGGACCATTTTGACCGAGTTAAACAAAATGCCGTTGACAAAGTCACTTCCACGTGGAAGTCCAAGTTTTCCAAACCATTACATTTAACAACCGGTGTTTGCCCCAAAACTTAAAGGGAAATCTGGAAAATCAAAAGTGTCCCACAATATGTGACATTTTGACGTTTTCTAGTTGCCATTTTGAATTTAAAGCTTCACTCGTTGCTCCATTCAGGGAGTGACGTAAGTCGCGAAGCACAATTTGTTGTTAATTTCATCGATGAAGACAATTGTAATACTAACGTCCCATTAAACAACTTGGCGATCAGGTCGTTTGAGTGAAAAAAAACTCATAATTTTTTTTGATATTTTGACTTACGTTTCTTGTATTAATTTGCGGGAAACATAGCTGCTCATGTGACGACAACAACGCATTTATGAAGTACGCGAATTTTGGGAAAATTGCATTAAAAGCAACAGAGCAACATAGGAGAAGATAAGAATAAGAGAGAACATAAGCCATAGATAAAGACGAGTACATAAGCCTTGTTGTATGCAACAGAGCTTCAGACAATTTCATATTTCAACTTGAAAATGTTTGGTTATATTAGTATTTAATATTTTTTATATTTTTTTAAATGAAAAACCATGTTTAAAACCCTTAGAAGAAGCATATGGACAAAGTTGAACCTTTGGGATTTAAGGGCGGCGCCGAAGCCCCACAAAAAGGTATCTTTCTTGATTTCTCTTTTTGCGCAACATGATGCAAAATTATCAACTAATTATACGAAATTATATATATATATATATATATATTATATGAAATGTGCAAAATATGGTATATTTGGAGCTCTGCAATAAAAATGCGCTGACAACTTTAGCCCTAAAGGGTCTACTTTGACTCAAAAGCCCAATACTTTTACAGTTGCTTCAATATGCCAAAAAACCGTCTGGGGCTCAGTTCGCAACAGATTCCCAAAAAACCGTCTATCTGATCGACGACACGGACAGTGAAAGCCCCAAATCTCCCAGAAATATTAGCAGGTATACCACCAGAACGCACACTTGTGGAGAATTGACCAAAAACAATGTGGGAGACAAAGTGATTTTGTGCGGTTGGTTGGAGTATCAGAGAATGAATAAGTTTATGGTTTTGCGCGACAGCTATGGAGAGACTCAGCTGCTGATACCTGAGGTGGTAAATCAAACATACAAACCGTCTTTGACTAATTATTAGCGCCTTTCAGGGCAAAAACATAGTCTCAATGGAGGAAGTTCCCTATGAAAGTATTATCGGAGTGTCAGGCACTGTTGTCGCACGCCCCAAAGAGATGGTAAACAAGAATCAGACCACTGGAGAAATTGAAGTGAGTTAATCCAGCCTTCTGTCCACATTGTCTTAGCAAAATTCCTTTAAAGCTGCAAGTGGACAGCCTGGAAGTGGTAAACAAAGCCAGAAGCAACCTGCCTTTCAATATCCGGCAATTCCAAAAGGCCAAAGAGGCACTTCGAATGCAATACAGATACATGGATATCAGATTCCCACAGATGCAGAGAAACTTGCGCGTTCGCTCCAGGCTTTTGATGAAACTCCGGGAGTTTCTTATAGAAAACCATTTTGTAGACGTGGAAACTCCCACGCTGTTTAAAGCCACTCCTGGAGTAAGTTGGAGAATTCTCTAGAGAAATTCGCTGACTTTTCTGGGCCGTTTTCCCAGGGGGCTCAGGAGTTTGTGGTTCCCACTCGATTTCCCGGCAAGTTTTATTCGTTGGCGCAAAGCCCTCAGCAGTTCAAGCAAATGCTGATGGCAGGGGCTTTGGATCGGTACTTTCAAATCGCCAAATGCTATCGAGATGAAAGCGCCAGGCAAGAAAAACCCCTAGAAGTGAATACATTTTACCCTAACTTTGAAGTGTTCTAGATCTGATAGGCAACCGGAATTCACCCAACTGGACATAGAGCTGTCTTTCACAGATGTAGAGGCGATTATTCAGCTAATAGAAGAGCTGCTATCATATGCCCTTGCAGATTTTGTTGAGAAAATACCGCGCTCTTTCCTCCGGATGTCTTACAGGGACGCCATGGAGAACTACGGATCAGATAAACCTGATATATCCTTTGATTTTAAGGTAGTATCTGATTGGATGCCGATTCCATCCGTCTATTTGAGGATTTTAGCTGCAAAATTGCACATCACTGCTGGAAAATAACGAGAAATTTGCGGCAGTTGAGGATTTTGGAGCGTATTTACTGGTTTTCGACCCTAAAAGCGTGCCTTGCACCCTGACTAAATCTGTGAAAGAGAACTTACTGCAAACAGCTAGACAATTCCCTAAGGCCAAATTAGTGCAGAGTGTGGTAGCCAAAGATTGGCCGACTAAAATGCAAAATCTCTTCTCCACTGAGGAAGCCAAGGAAATGTTGAACCGTTTTTCTATTACTGAAGGCTCAGTGCTGTTTATTTGCTATGGAACCAAAAAGGAAGCAGTGAGTAAGGAGGTTTCAGTCAAGGCTTTTTCATTTTCCGGTCCTTTTTTAGAGTTTACTTCTTGGCAGAATTAGGACGGAATATGTTCAATTCCTCGAACAATCCGCTCAAGTCAAAATTAGGAAAAGCGGGTTGCATTTTCTCTGGGTCGTAGACTTTCCTCTCTTTGAAATAAATGGCGTTACTGGGAATTTGCAGTCGGCCCATCACCCATTTACCGCACCGCATGCGGAGGATCTTGATCTGCTCAACCAGGACCCTTTAAAGGTACTAAAAGGGTTGGTCCCTAACGTCCAAGCCTAATAAAAATTCTGCAGGTTAGAGCTTTGGCTTATGATTTGGTGCTGAATGGCTACGAAATTGGCGGAGGATCGATCCGGATTCACGACCCCGTTTTGCAGGAGCAAATACTAAATGTTCTCAATATCGATCGGGACTCTTTGCAGCACATCATCGACATGCTTGGTAAATGGGAATTGTTTTCATTAACGTCTCTAGGTTTAATTACAAATACTTTCAGGATCAGGCTGTCCACCTCACGGAGGCATCGCCCTGGGTCTAGACCGGATTTTGGCAGTTCTTTTGCAAATGACCAGTATTCGGGATGTGATCGCTTTCCCCAAAACTTTCGAGGGAAAAGACCCGGTCAGTCAAGCTCCATCTGAATTGCCAGAGGAGACGCTAAAGTTATATCATATCAGGCCCCTAACAGGACATAGCTAGCTTTTATGAGCTTGCGAGGCAAACGCGGATATTCTCAAAATATGGTATATTTTATCACATTAACACTGTTATTTTTGCAGTTTTTATATTTTGAAATGTTCTAAGGTTTTATCCATTTAGCTGTTTGTTTTCTTTGCGAAGTGAATCGGGATTTGTACATTGTTGATTAAAGCCCAGTTTAAACAGGGAAAGATATATTGCATTTCTTTGCAGATGATTCACTTCACGTTAAAAACAAGTATCTTGAACAAATTGGTTCCTATGTAGTACATGCACTGTCGACGCTTTAGGAATTATAAATATTTCTTTAGACTTCAATTGAGACACTAATTGATTATGTTTGGTGGCAGTGACATGGAAAATGCGTTTTAAATGAAAATATATGAGTTTGAACAAGTTTTTTTGGTAATTATTAGAGAGACAAAACTTAGTAGAGCAATATGGCATACCATTAGTCACTGGAACCTAATCCTAGGTGTATACCTGGAACTTATATATCATCAGGTAAGATATCAGGTATCAAGTAGTTGCACAGGTCAGCTTCTGAGCTAACAAAATTGACTTTTCCGGCAGTTTTCTCATCCAGCCAGCCCTTGATCACAGCCCAGCACCCCGAGAAGATAGTGGAAGAATTGATGATCAAACAAACTCCCAATCTCTCGGGATAGTGCCTGCTAAGCAGCCAAATCAGGTTCTTGATCAGTTGGTAATCCATGCAATTGAGGCCGAAGTCTTTCAAATCGAATACTATGCATAGATTGTCAATGACTTCCTCAAAACACCGTTTGCAGGCATCCTCCAGACAATAGACAATGAACTTTGTTAGTTCATCGATGTCCCTTTCGCTGACATTGTGGTTCTTGGCTGGGATGTAAACCACCGGTCGTCCCTGCATATCCCTATGCTTCAACACTCTGGCTTTATTGGCTTCCAGGTTCTTTTTCACAACTGAATGCTCTGGATTCAGTTCAGCCACCCCATAGTCCTTTCTCCACTTGTTCGTCTTCAATATGGCCTGAAAGGCACTGTCAGCACTCCCGAAGGCTCGCAAGTACCTTTTCAACGAGAAGTCATTGTGATACTGCTCGGGATCCGCTTCAGAAATGAGTTTCATTCGACTTTTCAGATCTTGAAACTGAGCTTCTGGTGTTGGAGGGCTTCCAGCCATTTTCTCTCCCGATCTTGTTTACGTCAACTAAATACAATTCAATGAACGTTATATGGATTTTTGCCTGATCTGCTAATACTTGGGGCAGAGCATGTGGCTGATAAGATAAAATGGGAACTAGATCAAATTACTATTTATTTGCTTACTGATCACATCTTTGGATAATGAAGTTTTGACAACTGGAAATGGTGTGAAGTTGACAAAATCAGTTTCCAACTACTTGCTGACCGGATCCGTTAAAGTCCGTTCGAATTGCATGTTTATCTCTCGCCTTTATGCATGATTAGAATGAGATGGACTAGGGCTGGCCAGAGGAAACAACCATGGTGGATCCAAGGTTATGTTTATGTCAATGGTTTAAACGTTTGATTTTGTTTATACATTTTACTTTTTATTTATTATAGTGGAAAACAAGTTTAAACGTATTGACAATGGATCGGAAGCCGATTAGGAAACTCAGTCAAGAAGTTATTAATCGAATCGCTGCGGGCGAAGTAATCCAGAGGCCGGCAAACGCTTTAAAGGAACTGATCGAGAACAGTTTGGATGCGAAAGCTTCTAATATTCAAGTTACTGTAAAAAACGGAGGTTTGAAGCTGTTACAAGTAAGTACCCAAACTCCTTGGACGTTAAATGCCAAACAACTCAAATCAAGATTCAAGACAATGGCACTGGCATTCGAAAGGAAGATTTCGAAATTGTTTGTGAACGCTTCACCACTTCCAAGCTTCAGGAATTCGAGGATCTCCATAAAATCTCAACGTATGGGTTCAGGGGCGAAGCCCTGGCTAGTATTTCACATGTGGCGCACTTGACAATAATTTCAAAGACGAAAAATGATATTTGCGCCTATCAGTAAGAGTATGCCAGTTTATTTGGTGCTGAATGCGACGAAATTTGATTTTTTAGGGCTGAATATTGCGACAGCAAGCTGAAAGCCAAACCCAAACCTCTGGCAGGCAATCAAGGCACAATTATCACAGTGGAAGACTTGTTTTACAACATGAATGTTAGGAGGAATGCCTTGAGATCGCCTGCGGAGGAATATCAGAAGATTTCAGATGTGGTCACCAAATATGCCATTCATAATGCCCTAGTGGGTAAGTGATTAGGTCTAAGCAAGAGCAAAGTAATCGAAGGAAATGTTCTCTTAGGGTTTGCCTTAAAAAAGCATGGCGCAAACAATGATATTCGCACCCCAGTTAATTCAACCCACGTTGAAAACATCAGGCTTATCTATGGAAGTTCTATTGCTAGGTATGTTTTATTGCTTTTTCATATTTGGGCTAGCTATGGTTGATTGGGGTTTGCAGAGAATTGCTGGATTTCAACTTGGAGAACGACAATTTACAGTTTTCCTGCAGCGGTTACATGACGAACGTGAATTACTCGACGAAAAAGTTCCAGTTTTTGCTCTTCATCAACCACCGGCTAGTGGATTCTCCCAGTGAGTCTTGGGTTTGGTTAATTTGTAGTCTCCAATGCAGGGAGTTGTTGCAGGTTTGAAAAAGTGCATCGACGCAGTTTACCAGACTTACCTGCCGAAAAACAGCCACCCTTTTGTGTATTTAAGCCTAGAATTGAATCCGAACAACGTGGATATTAACGTGCACCCTACTAAACATGAGGTGCATTTTCTGAATGAAACCCAAGTCGTTGAGTCCATTGCGACTGCACTTGAGCAGAAATTGCTGGGGTCGAACAGTTCCCGAGTGTTCTACACTCAGGTTGGCTTGGATTTGTGACATTTTTCTGAGTAGTTCTGATTAGTGGATGTTTCAGTCCAAACTGCCTGGCTTGCAAATCGAGACCCGTGAAACTTTAAGGGACAAGGATGACTCGAGAAAAGTGGCAGAATCGCCCAAGTATACGGTACGATGTGGATTTACTTTTCCCCGGCTGGAGTCATGGAGGAGTCAATTTTAGGTCCGGACCGACTCGAATCTCCAGAAATTGGACAAGTTTTTCGATGTGAGCCGAAAAAATATTTTTCCCGACAAGCCCCAAGACGCAAATGTCTCCTTAACAGAGGCGGAATACGACAAACACCATGCTCACTTTTTGCAGCAGCAGGAATCGTTCGAAGATCGGTGCTTGGATAAAACTGTTCAGGATCTGAATGATTCGCCAGGTATTTATTAGAAGCTCTAAATGTCTGCAGGGATTTTAACGGTGTTGGCACCCAAGCTAAGGCGGCTACTGAGCAACCATCCAACGACGCCGCTGATAAATCCAATGTGGTGTCTTTACAGTCCCAAATATCTGCGTCTCAGGAGGCAAAAAAATGCGAAAAGCCGCTCAGCAAGCATCTGATCAAGAAGATAACCAGGTATATTTACAGGGTGGTCCAAAGTTGAGTGGTGATACTTCACCAGAATGCAGGCGCAAGTTGAAAATTCACTTAATTTGAAAGTTTTCGCATTATCTTACGTTAACAGTAGAGCTTTTGATTAGGAAAAAATAGAGCAACTGAACAGCGAAGCAGTGCCGCTTTAAAGTTTTGAAGTCTTACAAATTTTTGTTTTATTTCAAAACTCTCAACGTTGTGGCGAAGGCGAGCCACTCGGTAAATTACTGTTTGATTAATTTTTACAATTTTTGCGTTCTGATATTGTAGAGTAGATACAAAGTTGACCAGCGTACTGCAGCTTAGGAAAAGCGTGGAGGAAAATTGCCATCGAACGCTCCGTGAAACGTTTGCTCAGCACGTTTTTGTCGGCTCAATCAGCCCAAGCCAGGCACTGATTCAGTACAACACTCAACTACTGCTTTGCAACACCAAGCTGATACTTGAGGAACTGTTTTATCAGTTGGTTTTGTACAATTTCCAGAACTTTGACTGTTACCGGTAAGTTACATTGATTCTCAGCGGGGATTGATAAATCCTATTTCGCGTCTTCAGGTTCGAAAATGCGATGCCGATTAAAGACCTGGCGCTGCTCGGCCTGGATTTGCCAGATACCGGATGGACCGAAGAAGATGGTCCAAAGGAAGAACTGGCTGTTCGGATTAGTGAGATTTTAACCGAGAGAGGGCCCATGCTTCGGGAGTATTTTTCCATCAACATTGGCCCTAATGGGATGCTGCAGAGCCTACCCATCCTGCTTGGTGTGTCTGGTAATTGCGGCTCAATTTCCCGTTGAAAAACTTGATTTTTCAGAAAACTACATTCCCAACCCCTTGGGGGTGCCGCTCTACCTAATCCGACTGGCGACGGAAGTCGACTGGGAGGAGGAAAAAAAGTGTTTCGACTCATTCGCCAGAGAAACTGCCATGTTTTACGCGAATGTTTCCAGCGACACTGACGAGAATGGGAAATCCTGGAAATGGGTCACTGAATATGTACTGTATCCGGCTTTAAAAGAATATTTTATTCCTTCGAGGCGTTTCACCCAAAATGCTGCAATTTTGGAAATAGCCAATTTGCCTAATTTGTATAAAGTGTTTGAGAGATGTTAACTTTTTACTGTGGCATTGTTTTGCATTAAGTTTATTTTGTACACCATAGGGAGTAACGTTTGTTATATTTTGTAAATAAACCAAAAAAGCGCCTGAGCACTTCTGTCTTTCCCCGTCTAGTTGTTATGTTGACATTCATCCTAACATGTGATCCTAACCTTATTTTCATTTTTGAAAATGATTAATGTTTTCTTTATTCTGTTGTGTGTCATTATAACAATTGTAAGTGTTAATTTATCGTTAAAATTGCGAAGAAACTAGGAACAAAAGTCGGCTTGTAAAAAAAAATTTGGGCTTATCCCTCTTTGACCTATTAATTATTAATTAAAGATGGCCCTTGCAAGCAGTGCTTCGATAAGATCTCAATCTTTAGCAATTGCTGCCTAATCGTGTGCACAAAGGATGTTTTTTTCTAGCTGTTTGGCAAACTCATCAATGTGGATGTGCCAAAAACCCCGAACATTTTGGCCCAAACTGCCGAAGTTATTGAAAGGGGCAACTTTTCGTATTTCTATGTCTACAGTGGAAGGCCCATCGTTCTCAATCTCACATCAATGTAAGACTGAAATTATCTGGAAGATTTCCGCTTCAACTTGGTTTGGTTTCAGACTGGGCGACGCCGATTTGTACATCTCAGAAACAGTGAAAGCGCCCACTTATGATCCTGAGACTTACAGTTTGCATTCGGCCACTTGTGGGGATGACGTCGTCGAAGTTCCAGAAAGGTTATAAAGGCTTAACATCAGTCTTACACAGCAATAAACTCGCAGCGAGTTTCATTAAAATCCATCGTACCGTTCGCTAAATACAGGTTGTCCCATAAGAGCTTGATCAAAACGGTTCTGGGATATTATTTGGATCAAAGGAAGACGATCTGACTTAACTTTTAATAACAAAAAATATCTGGCTCCTCTGCGATTGATGGTCAAAGTTCTACAAAAAAATTATCTTCGAAATATCGAGATAATGGTACGAGATATTTTGGTGAAACTCACCGTGAATTTGTACTTACGTAAGACTCATATTTTAATGAAACAATCGAGTCAAGCCGTTCTGGGCAAGTGGTGAATTCTTGAGTGTCGTGCAAGGGCGGGTCCAGGGGACAACAAAAGACTGAATTTCTACTTCTTGACCTCCCCTGACTCGAAAGCTGGATCCGCCCCTGGTGTCGTGGTACAAAAACTACCCAAACGTTTTATTTGCTCGATGGAATCAACTCATTTTTTTCTTGGTTGATGCATTAATTATTTATTCACAATTTTGTGCTCTTTATATCTTTATGAAATCTTGTGGCATTCATAGTTTTTGCAAAAAAAATTTAGTTTTTTTGCCACTTTCACGCTTTCACGCACTTTGTCTTCGCAAAACCCTAATACTTTGACCATGTCGGTAACTTCTTTATTAGAAAAGGTCATTCGAAACGAATTTGTGAGATTGATTGACAATTAATTTATGCCCCGTATCGCGATATTTGCAGTTAAAGTCTAACATTGTTAAGTGGCAAGGAAACAGAAATATTTTCTTCGCTAAAACTATGACTGCTACAAGATTTTACAAAGAGCACAAAATTGCGAATAAATGATTAGTGCATCAACCGAAAAGAAAATGAGTTGATTTCATCCACCAACTGAAAAGTTCCAGTAGTTTTTGTACCACGACACTCAAGCATTCACCACTTGTCCAAAACGGATGAACTCGATTGTTTCATCAAGAGTCTTACATAGGAAGAAATTCACAGCGTGTTTCACTAAAATACATCTATTACAATTCTCTGGATATTTCAAAAGATACATTTTTTGAAGATCTTTGACCATTAATCGCAGAGGAGCCAGTCATTTTTTGTTAATAAAAGTTAGGTCAGATCGTCTTCCTTTGATGCAAAGAATATCGCAGCATCCTTTTAATCATGTGCTTACGGGACACCCTGTATTTCGCAAAAAACATAATTTAGCCCATCAATAACATAGAAGCCAATAATTAAAAAAAAATAAAACTTAGGACAAATCGTCTTCTTTTGAGCAAAAAAATGTTGCAGTATGGGACACCCTGTATATTTATAATGCCGTTTAGTCTTCAGATTGAATGTCTTCAATTATGTGAAAAAAACTTGTTTTAGCTTCGAGTTCCCATTGGCGGTGGGAGTCTATGGCTACGCAGAGACATCAGTTTTCCTGTTGCAAGTGCAGGAAAATCCCTCTTTCCCATACGCCCATAAGCGGTGGGTTGTAATCAAGAAAGAGCTGCTGGATGTAAAGGAGCCGGCGAGTGAAGAAGTTGGAAACAGCGATTCTGCTGAAGCTGCGTTCAAGCACCGCGTGAAGAAGAAAAGAAGCAAACGAAGTTCAAGCATGTCGAGCATTTACTCGGTTTTGGAAGTTTTGCAGTTGATTTTTCTGTGAGTCGTTTTCAATTTTTCAAAAAACTTTCAGTGAAATGTCTAGTTTTAGAAAATAAATCTTCGTTAATTTTTTAGGGGTATTTTTTTGAATCATTAACGTTTACAATCCGAGTGCTTGTTGATGATGATTTTCCACTTCAAGCTCTTCTTGTCCTTCTTTGGGCAAGGACATGCCGGGGAAACCTGCAAGGGGGACAATTAAAGCCATTTTGTTCCCACTATCATGCACTGCTTACATCGGTTTGGGCCCCTGAATCAACCGCATAGTAATTACTGTTATGCGACCGGAGCTCGTGTGTCGGCTGCAGAATATCCAGCGTGGCTTCGGACCCTCCTTGTTCGCTGCTTCCTTCTCCTGTTCCGATCGACACTAAATCGCACATCTTTGCTGCTCAACTTCAGCCCACTCACCTGGATTGCTGCCTTTGGTCTCAGCGAAATAAACTCCCGGAGTATGAAAGAGTCGCTTTTCCGTTCTAGTGAAGAACTGCGGAACCGGCTTTTTGAACTTCAGAGTTTCTATGGTGTTTTTAATTTCGCTCGGCATCGGCCGGTTGCTGAGCTTGGAGGCATTCGGCCGAATCATCAGCGACTGCTCACTTGCCTCGTACAGATCCGAGAGAATCTTTCTAGAAGCACGTTGCAGTGCCTACCCGATTATTTAGCGCTTGCTCACCTGCTTTTTTGTTCGGTACTCTTTGCTCCTGATTGTTTGCCGCAACTCGGTGATGTCTTTGGGAGCGCGCTGGTCTCCAGTAGAGCAACCAGGCAAAGATCGAGGAATGAAGCTTGAAACTGGCGGATTTTCATCTGGAGCTTTAAACGATATGAAATCGGAGGTCACATCGCGGATTTTCAGCGAATTGTCCGGGGACTTGCGTGAATCTCCTTCTCCCGTTGCTGATGGATTATGGCACATCACTTTGGAGGTGGATTGCAAGGGTTCGCAAGGAGGATACGCTGTAGCGAGCTGAAATTCGTCGCTTTCCATTAAAAAAGTTGTATTTGATTTTCCTTTGTGAAAATGATCGTCGTTTTGTGCAAAGGTGGCGCAAGATTATGCCAAAATTCCATGTTTTCCGTCTCGTTTTGCATGTTTCTCGGAAGCAAAATGAGCAAGAACACTCGTTCTTACATCATTCCAGAGATAACTAAATGGCCTTTATTCGAAGTTTCTCAAGAACCATTCGAGCCACAGAATT